GGAATGCGGTTTCTTCTTTTCGATGTCGATCGATTCCAATGCGAAGTGATGACGAAGTAGTTCATCCATTTTCGAATCTTCTGTTTCTTCGGTGAGGTGGTTCACGAAATGAACCCGGTGACCGATGGTGCGCGAGTCTGTGCCGTGGAGTACCCATCCCAGAGCCGTCTTCGATGCCACTAGCTGTCTTCTATTCCCCCGGCGGACTTCGCTGGCCAAGAGTAGGTGCCAGTTGTCTTGCCCGATGAGGATGATCCTCTTCGGCCTGGTCCATTTTGTCAGCTTGAGATCTTGTTCGTGGCATTTTTCTTTCTTCAATCTTCTATATTTTCTATCTTCAATCTTCTATATTTGACCACGACGATCTTCTTTCTTCAATCTTCTATAGTTTTCTTCAATCTTCTATAATTTTTCTTCAATTCTTCCTCGGCGCTGTAGATCCGGCTCGATGCGACCAAAAAATGTACGGGACGCCGGGCTGTCGCAGTAGCGGACAGTTACCGACTCGTACTGAGGGGTGGAGGAAGTTACACGCAGGAGTCTTGACTGTAGTGGACTGTAGTTTCGGCGAATAAAACCCCTGGTGTTCGGTATTGAAGAAATCGGTGGGCGCTGATAATGGATGGCCGGTGAGAGGAGGCTTCAGGTCCAGAGTGAACCGCTTGATTGTTTCTTCCTGTTCCTTATGGTAGGAGCGCCTGTCGCTGAATGCATGTCGGAGCATGTTCCGACTCGAATTTTATATGCTAGGACTGAGCTGGCCAGCGATCCATTACCTCACCCACGCTATACTTTATTTTTATTTTTTTCAAAAATTACATTAGTGCGAGCTTAAAACTAATTGTACATACATCGGGCATACATATAGGCATATTTTTAACACAGTTATGTGTCCGTAAGCATGATATTTTAGGTGTGGCGCGCAAAAAATAGGTCTCCGCAATATTTATACTTTCCCCCTCCATAGGGCTTCGCCCTGCCACGGGGCTTCGCTGCCCCACCCGCGCGCTCCGGGCGCGCCGGGTGGGGAGCGCAACATGTCTCAAAAAACGGTTCTATACAAACAGATTTTGTCTCCTACACGGTACATTTTTACATTTTTATTGATGTGATACCTATTTATTTACGTAGCCCTACGCGTTATCTACCTAATACAACAAGTTTCTTACAAGAATATCAACAAACAACAGCTCTGCGGCCCTAGAAAGTTTACAAATTAAAAAGTCTTAAAAAACCTACTTATATTCACTTAATGCCTAACTATCATATACCATTTTATAGAAGAAGTAAAAACACACAATATAACATCATTATTATAACAATTATACCTATATCCTATTGACTATTCGTAAAAAACTATTCCCAATATTTTCCTTAATTACGCTTAAACTACTAACACGATTCATACAAAACTTTGATATATTATTCCTATAACTACCTACTTTCTAATAAGACATAAAATAAATCAATCAAAACATAAAACATACTATTATCGAAAACTATCAACTCAGGCAAAATCCTATAAGATGTGAGACAAGGACAACCTATTGTCTCTGTCCCTCCTATAGGTCGGAACTATCAGTATTCTGACTAGTTTCCCCGCGCCACCGCTTGGCGTCGTGGCGATCGTTTAGACAAAGTCTTATAAGATTGTTGGAGAGAACGGGGCGGAATATCGCTCTGAACTATCAATTTTACAACGGTTTACTATGGGCAGAGTTATCTATTATTGCGATATCCGACTCATTCTAATAAGACAACAAGGGAATGATATTTTTAATGCGTATACAACCGATACATGTGAAATTATAGATACATTTTATACATCAATCTCATATTGTCGTAAGTTCATTTTCTCTCGCTTCGGTCGTCGCGTACACATTTATTATTCAAACAGCATAGATCCATGTGTTAGTATGCAATACTTAATACTTCGTTAGTACATTATATTAAAAACAGATATAAGCCTATTTACAAAAATATTTATCAGTGGACAGTCCCCACGAGCCACTAAATAATGAATAAATGACTTTTCATTTAATTTAATTTCATTTCATATATATGTTATGGGCTAAGTGATTAATCGGGCATTATTCATAATGCCCGAGCAATACGAATAATACCCAATAAGAGCGGGCAATGTGAATATAACCGATCAATTTATCACATTGCCCGGGCATTATGAATAATGTCCAGTGCCTGTTGGCTCCTTCACACGTTCCTCAGACGCTACGGGTCGCACGATGCTTGCGGCTTTGTCACAGCAGGCGGGGGCTGTTCTCCCTCCGCGCCTCCGGGCTCTAAAAAACACTCTAGAGGTAGGGCAGACCAAGACCAAGGCGTGTCGGAGTTGACCAAGTCGGTTCTGAATTAAAGACTGTTGTAAAGTAACATTTACCTTTTTTTCTAATTGTTGAGCCCATACTGTTTTTTATTTACCAAGATCTCAAAACAAACACAAAATGGCGAGACATCTGTCATTTTGACAATAGTACCAACGTTTCAAATTTATTCATACTGCCCGGTCCAAGCGATCAAGCTATCTCAAACACTGACTTTTTACATGGACCACGAGTCATCGGGCATTAGTAATAATGGCCGGGCAATGTGATAAATAGGTGAGTTTAATTAAATTAGATTGTAATTAATCACTTGGCCCGAAATGGCTGGGCATTATGAATACTGCCCTTTTTTATGTCGTTGGGAAATCCATTTACGGACCGTACCGCGCGCTGGCTGGACTCGCGGCGTGTGTGGGACTCCCCGGCGTGGAACAACGCCGGTCCTACCCACTAAAACCCACCGGTACCCTTCTACGCCCATGTGGGAGGGCATTATGAATATTGCCCGCATTAATCACTTAGCCCATAACATATACACTGACATAAAGAGATACGTGAGAAGAATCTGTTATTCATTACCGCTTAAATATGTGTTATGTTAAATAACTTTATTGTGAGTATTTTCGTATATCTTTAAAGCTAATTATCATAATCTAATGAAAAGATTTCGCACATCTGTTGATATGTTTGTGCTGTTACCTCTTTTGCACATAAATCTTTTCGTACGATGTAAGTATATCTATACAGGGTGTCCCGTAAGTAATGGTCCAACCGTAAACCCTAGGTAGTTCACTTGATTGCCTACAACTAATTTGAACCGTTTTTTGAAATTCATTAGGGTTGCCAAAAAAAATGATAAAATGTTTTTTTTTCAATATTTCTGTCTTGAATTGGTTTTTTTAATGGCCTTGACGCAAATATTAAAAATTATCAAAATTTTTTTCGCTAACATGTAGCTAGATAGATTGACTATCAACTCGTTTATCACATTTGCATAATGACATTGTATTTCTCTCAAAAATATTGAAGTAACTTAACATTTTATTGTATTTTATTTGGATGACCTAAATTGAAAAGCTCCTAATGTAAAAAAAAAGTATGACACCAAAGTGTTCCATTATTTTAAAAACATGTGCATTAAGTAAGGTTTCAAAATTGGTATAAAACTTATGGTTAACTAGTAAAGTTGCAAACATAATACAATGAATCCGAAGAAGAGGCGAATATCTTAAAAAATATAATGAAATTTAATTAGTCTCTAGTTGTGCATTTTTTCATTATTAGGAATGTTTTAACGACACTACGCGCACAGTACACAAGATTAGTACTTTGATCATGCTAGCCCTCGAATCGACGTACGCACACAGACAAATAATGTCATTTACACGGCTGCTAACCAATCTTGGCAAGACAAATCTACGCAGTGCCACGTCGCGCGTCGCCGAGACTGGTGTGAATTTGGACTTTACGAATTACCTATCGAATTTGGACTGTTTTTGATTTTTATAGAGTTAACGACTTGGCGAGTCTATTGGACTCCGAAAATCTGTTTGTTTGGGGTTGTTGAATCTCCGAACTTTGCAATGCCTCGCAACGTGTACACACCTCGTGAATATGCTATGATGCATTACACCTATGGAGAAGCAAGAGGTAATGCCAGAGAAGCTGCAAGATTGTACCGAGAAAGGTACCCGAATTTGCGTCACCCTGACCACCGAATTTTTGCTTAGAGTGCATAACTCGCTACTTGATGGAAGGATTCTTGGTACTGGAGTTGGTGTCGGTGACGGAAGACCACAGCAAGTCAATGACGAAATAATTTTGCAACAAGTACAAGAAGATGCATCAACGTCAGTTCGAACTATAGCACGACGTTCTGGAATACCTACAGCATCGGTGCACAGGGTTTTAAAAAGATACCGTTTGCACCCGTACCATCTACAACGTGTACAAGGAGGAGCAAAATGTGCATAGCTGTAGGCGGAAGGCAATTTGAGCATTTATTATAAAATTATAACGGTTTATTGCTTTTATTTCTAAAGACCTTATTTTACCCGTCGTTTACACAAATAAGTGCCATAAAAGCTAATATCAGTATAATCATCAAGTTGATTAACGTAAAGACATTCCTAATAATGTGAAATAACACAACTAAATACTAATTTAATTAATTTAGTTTTTTTTAGATATTCGCCTCTTCTTCGGATTCATTGTATTATGTTTGCAACTTTACTAGTTAACCATAAGTTTTATACCAATTTTGAAACCTTACTTAATGCACATGTTTTTAAAATAATGGAACACTTTGGTGTCATACTTTTTTTTTACATTAGGAGCTTTTCAATTTAGGTCATCCAAATAAATGGATGATACTTCAATATTTTTGAGAGAAATACAATGTCATTATGCAAATGTGATAAACAAGTTGATAGGAAATCAATCTAGCTACATATTAGTAAAAAAAAGTTTGAAAATTTTTAATATTTGCATCAATGCTATTAAAAAAAACCAATTCAAGACAGAAATATTGAAAAAAAAGAACTTTTATCATTTTTTTGGCAACCCTAATGAATTTCAAAAAACGGTTCAAATTAGTTGTAGGCAATTGAGTGAACTACCTAGGGTTTACGGTTGGACCATTACTTACGGGACACCCTGTATATACTTTACCCACCGAACTTGTTATAACATTACTTCATGAATATGTTTTTATTTCCATCAATAATTTGGGAGGCCAAACAAAAAATATAATAACCAAATTGCCAGTCCGTCCAGTCCGCACTTTACCAAATTAGATAAGATTTGTCTCAATGACGTCGTGTGATGATAAAAAATGCGAATATAATGCTGACCATTCCTCGTGTACAGTTAGTTTAGTTTGAAGCTTCTTACTGTCAACAGCATAATGGCATATGCGCCGATTTTTCTCACTCTATCAGTGTTATGTGTTATATTTTATTATTATTTAAAAAGGAGCAAACAGTTCTGGAAAAGGTTTAATGTCGTCGGACCAGAGCCTGACTTGTTGTTCGGCAACTACAAAGAGCTTATATTCAGGAGGATTACAAATCCCGAGTTACAAGAACAAATTTACAGAGCTTATCCTAAAGAGAAAGTAGTCGGTTTATACCGTTTTAATACACCGATGCTTCTCTTGAGAGACTTGGACCTCATCCAGCAAGTGTTTATTCGTAATTTCGACAGCTTTGTGAACCGCGGTGCGGAGTTTGGCGATAAACTCGGTGACAATTTAGCGGCAAGCAGCGATGACACGTGGAGGTTGCTGCGCAGCCGTCTCTCACCCATATTCACTTCAGGCAAACTGAAAAACATGTTGTATCTAATGGAGAGGTGCGGCGATAAAATGCTGGAGTATTTGGAGCCGAAAACCTCAACCGCCTATGAGTGCGATATCATAAGTATCATTAAGAAGTACACAGTCGCTTCAATAAGCGCTTGCGCGTTCGGCGTCGATATGGACCTGAATAATCCCGACAAGAAACTCGAGCAGATCGACAAAATGATATTTACGCAGTACTACGCGTTAGAGTTGTCCTTCATATGCCCTGGGTTGCTAAAAAAAATGGGTGTCAACGTTGTGCCCACAGTGATCCACGATTACTTCGTAAGCTTGGTGAATGTTATCAAAAAACAACGCAACGGTGTACCGTCCAACAGGAAAGACTTCATGGACTTACTTTTGGAGATGAAGAACATGAGTGAATTGAGAGGAGCCCAAAAGAATAATAATGGTGAAGCGAAAGTGCTCCAAATCACAGACACGTTGATAGCGGCGCAAGCCATGGTATTCTATGCAGGTGGATTCGAGACGTCTGCTACCACCGTCTCTTTCTTACTTCACGAACTAGCAAAGCACCAGGATATCCAGGACAAAATAGTCGCTGAGATAAAAGATGTTCTCGACGAAAGTAACGGAGAAATTAACTTGGATACTTTCAAAAAGTTGACTTATACGGCGCAAGCGATCGATGAAACGCTTCGAATGTATGCCATTGCTGATCTGCAGCGGAAAGTGTCTGCACCATCTTGCACAATACCTGGCACTAACATCACTTTGAAGAGGGACGATTATGTGGTTGTTCCCACCAGGGGAATCCATTTCGATGAGAAATACTATCCTGATCCTTATAAATTCGATCCCGAAAGGTTTTCGCCGGAAAACGTGAAGTCCAGACATCCATGTGCTTACATGCCGTTCGGTCTTGGACCACGACATTGCATTGGTAAGTTATTATCATCCATCTATCCTTTTTTTTTATAACGCAGTTTAAAAATGCTATTTACAGACGACGGCGCCTTTAAGAGGCACACTTCATAGTTTTCGTAATTTTAAATTATGTTTCTGTGTCGATTTTGGAGATAACTTTGGTTAGTTTGTTAGTTAGTTAGTTATATTTGGTTATATACCTACTTAAAACTTAAGAAGACGCAAATGATTCAATGATAGAATTTAAACAATGTTTATTAGTATTGAAACGAAAACAATTAAATCAGTACGCCCTTAGTACGAGTTTGAGTTCACGAAAACTATCATAGTTTTCGTAATTGTAAATTATGTTTCTATGTCCATTATGGTGAAAAGTAACTAAATATTCATAAAATTTAAGAAGACGTAAATGATTCAATGATAGAATTTAGACAATGTTTTTTTGTATTGAAACGAAAACAATAAAATCAGTACCCTTAGTACGAGTGCGCCTACCCCTATGACCCCCGTTTGCTGATCTTACAGGAACTAGGGACTTTGTATTTGATCTGAAGTGGGCCCCTGTCGGTCGTGGGGCCCTGGGCACTTGCCCAAAGTGCCCACTGGGAAAGACGGGTATAGTTATAAATTTTTGTTATTAAATTAATTTATTATTGTTATTTTCAGGGATGCGCTTCGCCAAGATCCAGTCTAATATATTCCTAATGAAGTTCTTGACCAAATACAGAGTAGAACCGGCTGATTGTTCCAAGGAGTTTAAATTTGACCCATGGAAAGTTACACTGGCCTCGAAGGAAGGAGTCCCAATTAAGATCGTACGAAGAAATATGTAAATGATAGAAGCGGTTGTTAAAGAGGTTTTTGTATAAGCGTGTTTGAACTATAACGCCTATTCCGGCCGATTCCGAGACGGACTGCAGACTGCAACCGCAGGCGACACTGCGGCTAGTGACTGCGGTCGACCGCAGCGTGGCGGCGGTCGTGGTTGCGTTTCCAAGCACGGCGGCATGCTGCGACTACACAATGCATAGAACCATGCATGCCTCAGTCACTCCAGTCTGCGCCGCGGTCGCTTCGCTACGGCTCTCGGTCACAGGCTGCGCGCGTCGAAGCAGGCTGCAGTATCGCCGCGTTTGGTGTCAATTTCATAGAAAAAAGTGGTGGCGCTGTAGTTAGCGGTCTGCAGTCTGTTCCGGAATGGCACCTTAAAGACTGGTAAATCTGCCAAGCAGCACCAATTTAAACCAATAGGACATCGACGAAATCGGTCCCAGTATGCCCAAAAGAATGTCCTTCACTATTATTTTTCTTTTATTTTTTTAACTTATTAGCAATTAATAGAAGTAAACGGACAAACTGTTTAAAAAAATAAAAATTTGTTCATCTTAACTTGTCCTATTTGGTAAACAATCTTGGCACTCCTTTTTATTGAAAATACAGTATTAAAAATCAACTGATAACTGGATTCAATAGGTTTCAGTCTTTAATAACGATATATTTTAATAGGTTATTGGCTTCATTATTATTTTACTTTAAATGGGTGATTTTGTTAATAAGTTGTGCCAAGATTGTTTACCTTAATAAATGCAATTTAGGCGACCATAGGTATTCTATGTATCAACATAAGAATAGAACTAGGTACATTAGCTAATCCTTAGTTAATAAGACTCATCACTAGTATTTATATAAATTATTTCTGAAATATTAATAATATTTATAAAAAGATTATTTCTGAAATTATGTAAAGATAGTTCATACTCCCATCCCATATAATATCTGTTTATTTTTATGAAAATCATAATGATAACCAGGTACATACCTAATTACCGATAGTAAAATATAGAGACAGGTAAATGGAGAGACTTTGAACATTTCATTTGAAAAGAAATCTATTATTACGGTATAGGTATCATAGGTGACAACTGCCAACACTCATAAATCAATATCAATATAAGCATTTATTATTTCTATTATTAATTGAATTTTATGTTCATTTAATGCATATTACTTATTTAAGTGCTTACATAGAGGTAAACGCTAGATTTATTCAGATTAAATAAAGTGTATATCTTTTACGATTAAGTATAATAATTATAACCTCAAAATCTAATACATTCTGTAGTAGGCCACGGTTCCTCAAGTTGTCCGTATCTCAACAAATGCCATAATAATCTGCGTTATTACCAAATATTCACATCATTATTTTAATAAAAGAAAACCCGCGTAGTCAGCCGACAAGCAATAACATTTGACATTTCTGGGACCTCACGCTACACCAGCGCCTCTAGCGGCGGATTTATACGCGACTCGACTAGCGCTCATTGTGTTAAGTATTTTTTTGTAAATAATTATTGTATATTAGGCACTTATCACATAATTGTACTAGCAGTAGCAGTATTTTGCTTTTGATTTTATTTTAATTTATTTTATTTGATTGATAATTGGTTTATGACGTAATTTAAATGAATTGTAATTATTTGAAATTTATATTTTTTATTATTATTATTGTGATTGTGAGGAGCTTGATGGCGCAAGTGGTTAGCGCGCTCGGCTGCGGTCTTTGAAGTTAAGCAACTTTGGCAGTGGTCGGTCATTGGATGGGTGACCAAAAATTTACTATCTCGAGCTCCTCCGTGCTTCGGAAGGCACGTTAAGCCGTTGGCCCGGCTGCATCTGCAGTCGTTAGCACCCACCAATCCACACTGGGCCCGTGTGGTGGGTTATGGCCCAATCTCCCTATTCCATCCATAGGGAAGGCCTGTGCCCCAGCAGTGGGGAGATTAATAGGCTGATGATGATGATGATTGTGATTGTAATTATTTAATTTGATTATCATTATTTTTTTCTATTTCTGTATTTAGTATGGGTACTACGCCTGAAATAAATGGTTATTATTATTATTATATCCATACCGGTATGATATTATTGTCATTACGATTTTATAATAAAGTAAAAATCATATTTCGTTTATTTATTTACATAATACTAGTGGCCCACCCTCGCTTCTCTTTAGTGTAGCACTTTACGCCGCTCGCCGGCTCCACACGCTGGTACCAACGTTGGACTGTAGATGTACACACGTTCGCTATTAAACTAGTTCTGTCCCATCAGGGAAAATGTGAAAATGTCCGGTACTGAAATCGAATTGCTACACGGGCAGCCCGGGTTCGATTCCCAGCTTAAAAAAAGGACATTTTTATTTTCCACTTTTTATAATCCAAAATGCAGTGGCGGACTAACAGGGGGGCGAAAGGGGCGGCCCGCCCCGGGCCTCCGGTCTTGGGGGGGGGCCCCAAATGCCTCCGCGTTCCTCTGATCAAATCCTAAACTAGACTTTATAAATGTGCTAAGTACCTACATAATTTCATCAAGATCAAAAAACCACAGCAAACTAGACTTCTTACGCGGTTCTAATATTCTTTTAACTTCGCTGAACGCGTCCAATACGATGGGGGAATTCCCGTCTTAGCGGCGGGTACTTCTTCAAGAATCCCTGAATGAATGAAGTACAAATAATTCACTCTTGTACGCCTACATTTATTAACATTATTACGTCGAAAAATAAAGATAGGCCTCATTTCAAATATACGTTGATATTTAATAGTTTATTAGTGTGCTTCGATAGTTTCATGAACGGATAAGCCTTTTTTCAAATTATAAATAAATATTTAAGTATTTATAGTATTAGTTTTTAGTTTTATTACGCGATCTTATCCTTTCAAAGCAGTGGCGGCGCTAGACCACATGTGGACGTCGGCGACATCAAGTTCGTGAGGCCTATTTTACTTCGCAATAAAAAACCGTTAAATTAAGTGAGCCAAATTATAAAATAACGTATGAGTAAACGAGTTTTATTGTTGATAATCAAATGATAGGATAATATAGAGGGTGTAAGGGGTTCTAAATACACCTGCAAGAACCCAAGCCAACCTCACCTTCACGCGGTGCACCCTGTTGACCAACAGACGAGGCTCTGGCAAACCGACCGATGGCGGTATAACCATCCAACGACGTAGGGGAGCGGTTGCCCCGCATCCGTAGACCCGAGCGTCACGTTTTTGTAGTGCTCCGTCTTTAAAAAATCAAAGTGCCGGTAAAAGTAAAGCGAAATAACAAGTGCAATACGTCAAAAGATTCGTCTCGACGAGACGAATCCAACGGTGTGTCACACTTAGGTGTGGAAAGTGAATAAAGTCTGCACGGAGGCGCTGGACAGCTGCAGCCACTGTGGCTCCCCCACACCACCTATATGCCACATGCCCGAACAAAGACTCCGCGCCTAGTTGCCTTAACTGTAGAAGGGCTGAGCTCAAAGAGATCGAACACAACACTTTTAGCAGTGACTGCCCACAGAGGAAACTCTGGGACAAAATCGCAAGAGCGAAGGTGGCGTACTGCTAAAGGTGTTGTGGGCAAGAACAAAATGGGGAGAGGAAAAAAGAAGCAGAAAGTAACACTAGGAGTAGGGAAAAAGATTGGAAAAAAGGCAAGCATGATAAAAAGTTGGCATTGGCTTCACTTTCCTGAGGAAAGTAAGAAACCAAATTTAGGAAGGAGACTGCTGAAACCCCTTCCCGGAACAATGGAGGAAGTGCGAGGGGAAACCAAAGGAAGCCACGAGACCAAAACAAGTGATGGCAGCAAAATTGATATTTTGATACCTCACTTGTGGAGGCCAACCGGGCTCCAGAGGAGACCACTCAAACTTGGAAGGTCAATGTGACCGGGAAGGGATTTCAGAAGTAAAACAGCAATAAAAAGGAAATATAGAAAGACAGCAATTAAGAACAGAAGTTAGTAACAATAGGCAAGATAGGTAGAAATAGCATAAGAAAATTAAACTAAAAAGAAATATAATAATGTAATTAGTAGAATAAGTGAATAAAAAGTGTACAAATAGAAGTAAGAAACATGTAACTACTGAAGTAAGAAACAAAGAAATGTGATAGAATATAAGTAAAATATAGTATAATAAGAAACAATTGTAAAACAAATGAGAAGGAAAGAAAGAAGAAAACTAATTTGTATAGAATAAGAAACAACAGGAACTGTAAATATAAGATAAATAATAATACTAATAAGAATAAAATGTAATAGATATTAAGAACAGATAAATGTAAAAAGTAAAGTAAAATAAACAAAAGAGAAAAGAAAAACTCGCATAAAAATACATGACAAAGAGAAAAGAAAAGCTCAAAAAAACAGAAATATAAAATAAAAAAGAAAGAAAAAGTCCTGCCACTGAGTGGGGAAGCCGTTAAAAAAAAAAAAAAAAAAAAAACGACGTAGGGGAGTGAAATCTCACTGGTGACGGGCAGCAGCGTCATCAGTGAATTAACCTACGTTCTGCGATCGCCAACCCGCCTGCCCAGCGTGGCGATTATGGGCAAAACCTTCAATGCAAACAAACCACAAGCCACGGCCCCCAGTTCCCGGCAGCTCCGCTATTCCTGGTCACGGTGGCGACCACGGTGACGGCGGGGCAGGGGGTGCCAAGAATCTCCGGGCTACGGGAGGCCACCACAATAGACTGACCCTGGCAACGTACAACGGACGCACGCTTCGGCTTGACTCGCATCTGGCGCAACTCGAGGTGGAACTTGGGAAGATTAGGTGGCACATTTTAGGGTTAAGTGAAGTCCGAAGAGAGGGGGAGGACACCATAACGCTCGAATCGGGCCACCTAATGTACTTCCGTGGGGGAGACCAACAGTCCCAAGGTGGCGTTGGGTTTTTGGTGAATAAGTCCCTTGCCGATAACGTTGTGGAAATGTCCAGCGTGTCGAACAGGGTAGTGTACCTCATTATAAAGCTCACCGAGAGGTATAGCCTCAAGGTGGTGCAAGTGTACGCACCGACCTCGACACACTCTGACGACGAAGTGGAGGATATGTTCGATGATATATCGAGGGCCCTCAACTCCACTACTAAGACCCACTACAACGTTGTTATGGGTGACTTCAACGCTAAAGTGGGAGTACAGAATTGCAGCGAATCGGTAGTAGGATCCCATGGATTTGGAAGCAGAAATCATAGGGGGCAAATGCTCGTCAACTTCCTCGAACGGGAAGGGCTCTTCTTGATGAACTCTTTCTTTAAGAAACAGCCCCAAAGGAAGTGGACGTGGCAAAGCCCCGACACTATGACTAAAAATGAGATCGATTACATCATGACGGACAAGAGGTATATATTCAGAGACGTCTCCGTGATCAACAGGTTCAATACAGGTAGATCACCGACTCGTCCGGGGTTAATATCAACTTTAAGGCCGAGCGCATCCGTTTGATGAAATCCAGGCTCCGACCTACTCTGCTCCAATCTATAACAGGATCTGAAACGTTCCAGTCAAATCTGGAGAACCGATTTGCTGCCGTGGAAACCACATCAGACGTAAACCAAAACCTCGAAATGTGGTTCGGATCCTCAAGGAAGAGGGTACGAGATTATGTGCAACGCAGCGTAAGGGTAGGAAGTCAAAGCTTTCCGAAGAGACTTTAGGGCTAATGAAGGAACGACGTGAAAATCCACCCGTCACTTCGTCAGCAAAGCGGACTCTAAACCAAGAGATCAGTAAGCACGTACGA